TTTATTAATTTGGATATTTGCTACTAAATTAATATATAGTTTGGTTTATTTATTTATAAAGTATAAATTACTTTTTAAAAATTATTACAATTATAAACTCCCTTTCTCAATCAATTTGTTGAACAAGGAAGGTTTATTAATTATTTTTAAAAACTATAGACTTGCCGTGTGTACCCCAGCTACATTAATAATAAATAGTGAAAGCATTTAAACTACAGTTTGAAAAAAATATCAATCAATCATAAATATAAACATACAGGCATAATTTTTAAAGTTAATTAATAACAATATTTAATTTATGCCACACTTTGTCAATCACAATAAGCATGGTAATATTTATGTTAAACAGGTTATACAAACTATTATTTTATGCATATTTTAATTATGTATTAGCAAAAAATAATAGTTTTTCATTATTGGTAGCCAAAAAACTATAGAAATTTTGACATTAATAATTTTATATTATAGTTACATTTACTATATTAATTGAATTTAAAATGTTTTATTTCTATAAATGATATAATTTCCAATCTGTAATTTAAATTAAATACTAGGATTAATTAATTATCCATTTCATGAATATAAATCAATGAAATTGATTCACGACATACCTTTAAAATATTATAAATAATTTTTATAATGATAATAAATTATATACACTTTCGCTAAACAAAAATTAACTTTATACTTTTATTATTTTGTAATTTGTAAAATTAATAATTAAAAATCTTACTAGTTATACAATTTTTATAATGACCTCAATTAGTTGCTAACTTATAGTGAACAGGCTAATTAAAATAACTATTTAATCATATTGGTGCATTAAGTTTATCAATACGTAATAGCAAACTCAATACACTAAAAACTTAAATATTAATTATGATCAAGATAAAATGCTGCTTAAAATAAATCAACAATTTATAATTCACTTACTGTACACATTTTCACAATTAAATTTATAATTTAATAATAAAATAATTACAATTACATAATTGTATAGTTACATTGTTTATTATTTTACAAATTATTATTTCATTGTATTTTTGATATAAAATTTTTGTAAAATAAATTTATTTATTTCTATAATCAGTGCCATTATAGTTGCATTAATTTGTGTTGTATATGAGCTAGTTCATAATATTATTAGTTTAAAATATAGTTTGAAGAAAATTTTAAGATATTCAAATTCATAAACAAAGTTTAAATATGGTGCAAAATTAATTTATAATATAGAAAACTTTCAAATTTGTAATTAAATACAAATATAACAATTATCAAAAATACAGCTTAAATTTGATTAATATAATATGTGTAGTGATTACAAAAGCATAATTCAATATTAAATCTAATAAATATTCAAGATATTATTAATAATTTGTCAGGAATTTTTAAAATTTAACATCATTAATTGAAATGTAATTGTAATTTTGTTATCAATTGAGTAGCAAGTTTTCCCTATTTTCGTAAATAGTTTAGTGATTATTATGTATTTATGCTTTTAGTATAATATTTTGTAAAATAAATTAAAAATACAGATATCTGCAATGTATTCCCAATAATATAAACATTTAATTTTTGTAATACATGTAAATGTTCATTCAATCTGAAGTACAGTTTTCATAAAATTATATATTATATTATTTTTAAAAATTCATTCATGTATTTACATAATTAAACATTAATTATTAATTATTATGAATTTATTGTTGATAGTCCAATAAAATAAGTTAAATATTTACAATAAATTTTTATTTCAAAATTTATTTTCCATTAATTTACTAATTTAAAAATTATTTATTAAACATAAAGATTTAAATATCAAATAGCTACCTAAAACAAAAAGGTTTATTTTGATATAGTAAAATAAATAAAATTATATTTAAAATATATTGAAATTCATAAGTATGATAAAATTTTTAATGTTAAATGCATTATACTTAAAAAACTATAATGCTTATTTTATTTTAATTAAGTATTATAAAAAATATTAGTTTTCCACTATTATATGTCAAAAAAGAAAAAACTTTATATACTTGTATTTTTGTAATTTGTAAAATTAATAATTACAAATATTAAATAATTTATATAATGACCTCGACTTGTTGCTAACTTATTATAAACTGAACAAAATTAAAAATAATTAATAAATAATATTGGTGCAATTATATGAAGTCAATACATACGTAATTACAACCTGAATACACTAAAAACCTAAATACTAATTAATGATCAAGATAAAATATTACTAAAATAAATCAAATAATTTCGAAAACACTTAAGCACTGCTATAATAAATGATAAAAATAATCAATATACTTTTGTTCAGTGTAAGTCAAACAACTGTTGCTGTATTTGATTTATATAAATGATCAGGCCACATATCAAAGTATAATAAACAACAATAAAAAACCTGTTACTAAACAACATGTTACATCTAATAAATTGCTTAAATAAATAATATTTTCAAAAATATTATTTGACTGATGTTTATAATATTATTATTTGATCCTGTATATATTTATTACACAACCATACATGGCTGTTCCCGGTAATAATAGTTTTTATCATTAAAATAAATAAATCTGACATCTGTTTTATACTCATAACTATTTACTAGTAACTAGCATTATACATTAGTCAATAGTCTGCTTGTAATCAATTTACCAGGATATTAATCATATCTATTGTTTTTCCATAGAAGGACAGGTATGTAAAAGTGTTACATAAAAATTGCTATAAAAGCCATTGAATAAATAACAAAATAATTAATAAAACTTTTCTACTCATAGACAACAAGTCATGAAAATATTTGTCTACTTTTGTGCGGCAATAGGCCTGACCTATGCCGCGGAGTACAGGCTTCACAACAACTGCCCGTTCACCGTATGGCCCGGTATTCTGGGTAACCCGGGTAAGGGTAACCCCGAGGGGGGAGGGTTCCAGTTGGGCAGTAAGCAGACCCACTCGTATCAGGTGAACAACGACTGGGCCGGTAGGGTGTGGGGCCGTACTAACTGCAACCAGCAGGGTCACTGCGAGACTGGCGATTGTGGTAAGTTTATTAATTTAAAAATATCACATAATATTAGCTAGTACAAATTATTAATGTTTCGTAAAGTTAGAATTAAAATTGTAAAGTTTTATGAAAATAATTGTCTTGCCACTATTTTTGCTAATTGTTTAGTAAATGTTAAAATAATTTATACTTTGAAAAGCAAAATAAAACAATTTTAAAAAATTATTATATTAATAAAAGTTAGGCTAGTTATTATTATATAAATTATATTATAGAGTCGTATTGGGTACGGTACTAGCCCATTATAAATTATTACTTGTTTTAGTTAGTATTTATATATAAGTATAATATTATTTACAGTTATTGAACTACACTTTTAATTTAAATATACTCCAAAAATTTAACATATAAATATAGTATGTTAATAATAATTTAATATTTATAAATCTAACCTTACACCAATAATCCTAGGTAACAAGATTCAATGCCAAGGCGCCGGTGGTGTTCCCCCGGTCTCCCTGGCCGAGTTCACTCTGAAGGGGGCCGGTGGTCAAGATTTCTACGATGTGAGCCTGGTCGATGGCTACAATCTACCCATCAGGATTAAACCCATAGATGGCACCTACCGTAAAACTGGTGGTGGCAAATACGACTGTAATGTTGCTGGCTGTAACTCGGACTTAAACGCCAGGTGCCCGGATGAGTTAAAGGTTAAAAATGGTGGTGGTGCTACAATTGCCTGTATGAGCGCCTGTATGAAATTTAACACGGACGAATATTGTTGTCGAGGTGCCCATGGTACTCCCGATAAATGTAAAAGCAAGGACTGGCCCAAAAATTACCCTGCTATTTTTAAGGGTGCCTGCCCCGATGCTTATAGCTACGCCTACGATGATACATCTAGTACGTTTACTTGTATGGGTAGCCCCAACACTGGCTATGAAATCACTTTCTGCCCCTAAATATACCTTGTTTGATTATGTTGTATAATACTAATAAAGTTAAATAAAATTGCTATTTGACTACATATTGTTAATTGTTGTCATAAATACAAATAAATAGTTTCAATTAAAAAAATAATTAATTACTACAATAATTATTAATGCTATGTTACTGACTAGCATTAAATGCTCGTAACATATCAAACATTAAAAAAATTAAATTTCTACTCCAAAAAAGTAACAAAACATAGTATAGTTTGTAAAACATTTGGTGTTTTATTTCAAAAATTTTTATCAAAAAATTTTATCAAATGATTGCACTTTGATCATTTGATAAAATTTTTTGATAAAAACTCATGGTGTTGATAAGTTTGTAACCCGCAATATAATGTGGTATTTAAAAAAATTTATTTTTCAAGTTACACGTAGACTGGCTAGTTTTATTGTGGGAGATATTTAACATAAGTTATAGCGTATGGGTATTAAGTAATTAAAAATTATTTTTTACAATATGGCGGGTGTATTGTGAAAGTTACAATATATTACGTTTTATTTTTGTGTTAATTTATTATTATCTATAATTTTAATTAACCTGGTAAGTTACATAAGCAATTGATTTATCAAATAATTTTAAAAATATTATGACATTTAAGGTGATTTCAAGTAAAATATGTATTTTATTTGTTTAAAATGTTTTTTTGATCACTAGTGTTATATTACATATTAAATATTTATATCTGTGGCAGCTATATGTGAGATACAGAATATATTTTAAATAACTTTAGTTTCAATTTGTATAAACACACTGAATGTCAAGTTTCACTAATTGATTGCACCTCAAAGTGGTCTCAAATATCTGCGTTACGGTCACTCTCTCCACACAAATGCCTAAACAGACCAAAAGTACTGTCAGTATTAGACAGTGATTGCGCTGATGAAGGACATGAAGGACAGAGACAATTACTGTCCGAAACAAATGATTGCAATTTT